ATTATTTTTTAAAAAGTTAAAAAATTAAGCTTATTTATATAAATATTCCTATATACCAGAAATAAACTCAAATAGTATATTAAATAAATATTATTTTAGCAATCAGTTAAATCCGAAAGTTCAGTTCTTAGGAACGATAAACTATAATACTATCGTCCCTAAGGAATAATAAATACATCGTACCTTAGGAATGATAAAACTATCATTTCTTAGATACGATAATACCATTGTTCCTTAGATACGATAATACCATTGTCCCTAAAGAACGATAATACCATTGTCCCTAAGAAATGATAAATGCATTGTGCCTTAGAAACGATAATACCATCATCTTAAGGAATGATAATACCTATCGTACCTAAGGAACAATTCAATCGTCGTACCTAAGGAACAATAATACCATCATTCCTTAGATATGATAAAACAATCGTTCCTTAGAAACGATAAATGCATCATACCTTAAGAATGATAAAACTATCATTCTTTAGGTATGATAATACCATTGTTCCTTAAGTACGATAAAACCATTGTCTCTAAGGAATGATAAAACCATTGTCCTAAAGAATGATAAAACCATCGTCCCTAAGGAACGATAAAACCATCGTCCCTAAGGAACGATAAAACCATCATCCCTAAAGAACGATAAAACCATCGTCCCTAAGGAACGATAAAACCATTGTCTCTAAGGAACGATAAAATCATCATTTCTAAGGAATGATAAAACCATTGTCCCTAAGGAACGATAAAACTATCATCCCTAAAGAACAATAAAATCATCGTCCTTAAGGAACAATTCAATCGTTCCAATTGGACATCAATCGGTTATAAATAAGATAGGTCAAATTTTAATATATACCAATCGGCTATAAGTATGCCAATTAGCTATAAATAAGATAGGTCGAATTTTAGCTGATTCTTGGCTGATTTCTGATGTATGCCAATCGGCTAGGCTGATTTTTGATAATTTGCCAAATTTAGGTTGAATTTAGGCCAATTTTCGCATGTTTAATTTTTTTGATTTTGACCAGTGTTTGAATATTTATTCCTTGCAATTTGACATACCACACAACTATTATTATTATATAAAAAATCTCATATAGATACTTTTTGGAGGGTAGCATAAGATAAAAATAATGAGATTTTAGGTTAGATTATTTTTAATTGATTTTATTTTTTAACTTTAAAATAACATTTAATTTAATAAAACATCAAAAAAATTAATTTTCAAATTGAATTCTTTTTCTAACAGTTTCATAAAGCTTCTCTTCAAGTTGAATTCTTTTTTCTAAAAGTGTAATTTCTCTTCCTTGAACAAATAAAGCATTATCTAATGTTAATTGAGATACTTTAATAATATTACTGTTATTTTCATCTTTATCTAACTCAATAATTATATTTGCATTACCACTAGTTTTATCTTAATTATTACTTCTAAATTATTAATTTGATTAAAAGCTTTAGTTGTAATTGGTTTTCTAGGTTTTTTTGAAGTTTTTTTAAGACCTTTACCTATTTTTATTTATCATTTTAATGTTAAGTAATTCTAAGCAAAATAAACCAAAATTTTTAATTTTCACCTTCTTTACATTAAGTAGCATTTATATATTTTTGTACTTGACTCTTATTTTTAGAAGTGTTGGGGATATTATAAAGCTGATTCACTTTTGCACTTTTCTATTAGTTTTTATCAAAGTTTTAAGCACTATAAATTTTATATTAATTGATTAATAAATTAATAATTAATCTAATAAATATAATAAAGGAAATGGTTTAATTACGTATTTATAGCTACAAGTAATGATATTCTAATTCCATCTCTATTAATATTAGCATGAGCACCTTCCATTACATTAGTGTTGTTATGAGTTTAATTCTATAACCCTAATAGAATATTTATATAACATTTATTTATAGAAGATAAAACCCAAGGAGTTTGTTTATGATGAACCCAATCTAATACAATTAATATAATTACTATATTAATATATTAATAATTTATACAATAAAATAATTAAATTATATCAAAAAAAGTTAAAAATAACTTTTTACAGATTTATAATAAGAATTTCTAAGTATATTAAGTACTGTTTCTACTTCTGTTTTAGTTTCAAGATAAGGTATTACCTTCATTTATTTTTTAGTATTTATATCAGCACTTTTAATTTTATCTACATTTCTTTTTAATAAAAATTTAATTAAATTAATAAACAAATATTTAAAACTCTTAATAATAATAAATATATTTAAATGATACCTATTATAATGAACTATATAAATTTTATGTATATTTTTCAAGTGTTCTTTAACAGATTTATTGTTATTTCTTAAATGTAAAAATTAACCTATTCCTGATTTTATAAAAAAATTGCTATTAACAAATTATTAAATAAATAATTTACAAAAATAATTGTTATAAAAAAGCCTACTAATTGTTTGTTCAGAATGTGCATCTGCAATGATACATTCTAACCTTCACTATTAATGTAATTGAATTTGAATATTTTGTTAGTATCATATTCAACAGTTGTAACAATCTCTTAGAATATATATTTATAGGCTTCAGATGTCTCAATATTAGTAAAAACTCTTGCAAAAATAAGTGCTTTATAATAAAAAAATTTTAATACATATATATATATCTAAATTAATATAATATAAATATCCAATATGCTTAACTTGATTTATAACTTTCTATATATGAACATAATATCTATTCTTTTATTGAATATCCATTAATAGAGTTCTGGACAAGTCAAGTTAACTCACGAGTCAGATAAGCCAAGTTGAGTTTAAATCAAGTTGAGTTTATATTTTTTTGACTCGATGATTTGCGAGTCAAAT